CCTCTTAGTACTGACATTTCTTCATCACCTTTAAAAGGACAATTCAACATGAGCGCCGTTTTTAAAGAGTGATGTTGTTCAACATTTAAAATAAAATATTAGGACAGATATATTTTTGAGCAGCAATTTATGTCTTAATAAAAAATTGTGATATTGAAGTTGTGAATAAACTGTAAATAATGGAACCATCTACCTAGGGGATGATGAAAATATAAAAGTATATCAAGGTTTGGTAGCTTTTGGATCAATAGACAATCTTTCCACCTGTCTCCTGTAGGCTAAATTGCTCTATGAATGGCAGTGAGGATACCTTAGACATGGAACACCTAATATGTTAAAAGACTGAGCTCTGCCAAATATTTTGGCTTATATCTAAAGCAGCAGAGAAGACAGAGGAATGAGTGAACAGTGGTCCCCAAACTTCTTATACAGTTTTATGCTATTATTATTGTTAGTAAACTGAAACACTGAACATCTAAACTATGACCTTTAAAGGCAAATGATAATAACTCTCTAATGTCACTCGTTTAATTGTTATACATTTTGGTTTTTTGTCTGTGAAATTATGTTCCAGGCCTGTAGTTGCTGCATTTTTGTATATTTCTTGGCACTCTGTCCTCTTCTTTAATAGGTTGCTATTGTCTGCCATGTTTGTCTAGCATTGTTTACATATATATATACATATATATATTTTTTTTTTTTAAATAATATGCTTAAAATAGTGGGTTTGCATCTCACACAAATGTAAGTAATCCTAAGATTTTTAATACAGGGGTATTAATTATCGTCATCTCTAAGCCCTCTTTATAATAATAATTTTGGTAGCAGCAATTGTGTGTTCCATGTGCTGAAATTTAACCTCTTTGATTTCCAAGTTGGTGGTATTTGGAATTATTCAAAAATAACAACACAGTTCCAGTCTGGAGCATCTCCTAAGGTTGACTTTGTTTCATCCCCAGTGTGCTATGTCTTTAGGTTGATTGGCCTAACTATGTCTTAATTCTGTGATATTCTTTAAAAACCGAGTGTCCTATTAAGCACCTCAGACCAAGCAAAAGAATTCTGTAAAGAACAAGCAACAGGATATAAATGTCCTTAACAGTTGTGGCAAATATTTGAGGAGATTTTTATTTTGTTCTAACAGTATAAACTGTGAACAGCTCATAAAAAGAAGAAAAGGAAGGAAAGGAAAAAGATCTTTTTTTTTTCAAAAGGAGAAACAGTGTTTTTTTTAAGCAGAGATCAATCTAGCTGGTGCTTAGATGGTTTCTTACCATCCTTAAGTGTTTTTTGTTATTATTATATTACTTTTCCTAACTAAATGCAGTTGAAGTTCCCTAAGTGCTTGCCTTGGTATTATGCAATTTTACCTGTGAAGCTTTTTAGACTTTGCTTATATATAAGTAAGGCAATGATTGTATTCTCTATTTAATTTATTGTTCAAGTAATATTGTTGACAGTGGTTGTGACTGTAGGCGCTTCCTAGAGTAATAGAACAGTACTTAGATTTCTTCCACTAACTTTGCATGGATGCATTGAAAAATGACTCAACATCTCATGCCAGGTAGGAAATCAAGCTTAAAAGTCCTTGAAAAATATATTCAGAGATCTAGATCTTATGTTGTGTGATCTCTGAGGGGTAGAAGTGCAATGGAAGACCAAGTCCTGGCCTGGGATACTCTGTAGACAGCACAGCCCCTGGTCAGAAGCCCATGGAAATTAGCTCATCTTGGTTAACTGAGAATAAATCAAACAGGCTGGGAAAATCTCTAAGGAAATTTGAATGGGAGTAACAGAGACTGAGAGAATCATTGGAAAATATTTTGAGTAAAAACAGTGTGCAAATGCTGCTAATGGTCACCAGGAATCAGGAATCAGATTAATAAATTCTACTGTAACAAAGTTCTCCTTATTACACCATGAATACATGTAATTCTGTCCACAGGAGCTCTGAATACCAATATTTTGGCATTCAAGGAATTCTGTTTGCTTCTCCTCCTCCTTTTAACCCAATGCCAACAGCCATTTTTATTTCCTTTTTATCCCATCTCCAAAGTATCTTTCCTCTCTTTGCAGAAAAAGATTAACAGAGAAATGCTATAAGGCTCAATACCAAGCTTTATGGTTTTTTTTCAGAAACACAGGAAACCACTAAATTCCCCTCTATCCCCTCTTGGAAAGAAGGCCAAAAATTTATCACAGAGCAGCATTAATATAAGAGTATTTAAGGACTTAAATAAATAAACTTTAATAAACTTGTATTTTCAGCACAGAGCAGATGGTGGTTGACAAACCTGCCTGAAGCTATGTAACATCACATGCCTTGCTATTTATTTTTCAATAATGTGATTTACTAAACAAATTTATCCTTCTTTGAAATCATACTGTGAAGAAATGGGGTTTATATACAGATTAAAAGCCAGTAGCCATTTTACAAGTAACAGGTGAAGGACACAATATTCCTTGATAAATAAAATGGTGCAGAACGTGAGAAGTGTCTCTACAACTTCAGCCATATTCATCTATGTTAATAAAATATTGTCTTTGAGGGAGCTCAACTGGATCTCTGTCCACTTGGTTTGCTAGCCTGTTTTCCAGCACAGACTGGTTCATGCCATTTAGCATCTCAGATTGGATTCCCATGTTTTGGGCAATTGCACAGGGAAGAGTGTTTTTTGGTAAACAACATAAAACAGGCTTTTCTCTGTTTTGGAAGGAGGAGAGGCTGGCCAGATGGATATTGACAGTTTGTGTTGTGTGGCCTAAGGGTCACAGAAGGGCTCCCAATTGTCTTATGTTTCCCAATAGGATGTACCTTAAGGGCTGCTCATTATGCAGTTTAAAACTAGACTAAAAAAGTTAGAGGATAAATTTGAAGAGAGGCTTAGGAGAGGTGCTAGATGTAGACTACTCTGGGCCTACTGTCAATAATAATTTCCTCCTATGAGTAAAAGAAAACATCCAGGTTAGGAACCTAAATTACAAACTTTTGCATCAATCTCAAAATTTCAACTTTTTTTCCAAGGACCATTTAGGGAATGTCAGGAGCCTTTGCTTCTAAACAATGCAGTTTATCAGATGCCTAATTTATTCAGTGTCATTGTATCCCATACCTGACTGCCCTGAAAGAAGTCCCCAGATCCTATTAGAGGACAATTTTCTGATCCCCCTCAATGGGTGCCAAGCATGAGATGCTTGACTTTGCACGTCAGTTGTGAGCAGAAAATACATCTGCCCTGCATGAGATCAGTGAAGAAGAATTGTTAGCTAGTTATTTTTTTTGAGAGCTAGAAAATACCCTCCCAAGATAGCCCTAAGTGTCATGGCATTTGCTTTTTCATTATTCTCATTGTGTTATTTGCACAATTTAGCAAATTATTCCCTGATTATTTTTTTTTTAAAAAAAGTTAATTTTTTGCCTAGAAAAAAAATGTCCCAAAACATTTTAGATGTTTATATGTCTTTCTAAACCAATGCATTAAAGAGTAAACAGTGAGAAGGAAAGAGAATTATTTAAGAAAGTTAAAGAAATTGAATTATTTGCCTGGGAAAATAAAGGATCCCAGAATGGTAATGTCACCAAGGACACTTGGTTCAGCCAGTACACAGCACACAGCAGGAGGAATTAAAGTTTTCTCAGAACATAGATTTGTAGACTAACAAAATAGGAACCTGACTAAGGGTAGTTCATCTGGCACTCCCCATTGTATCACTTCATAGGTTAAGAGAGGTTTCCTATACCAAACTTATCTGCCTCATTTTTATTGGGAAATTTCAGCTTGAAAAACTATAGAACATGTGCACATATGACAGCTGCTGTCTTGGACAAAATACCAGGGATTGAATTCAGGACCAATAAAGCTAAAAGCATGTCTTGATATTGCTGAGGCTAAAAAGCTGTAGTTTTTAGCTGGGGAGCAGAGGAACTAAGTCAAAGGATGAGCACAAGAAAAGTGAGATAAAAATACCAACGGGTTACACAGATGCCTCCTCTTGTATCATAGCAAATCCTCTCTCTGTCAGTGTTCTGGTGTCAATGTGTACGATTGACTCCAGAATTTGTAATGGATTCTTTTTAAAAACCTAAGAGGTTAATTTATGTTTTGTATTAAATTCTGGTGGCACTTGATATTTTTATGTTTGAATTCCTAAATAAAAAAAAAAAAAAAGGGGGTGGGGGATGGGTTTTGCAGATTTCTAAATGATCATAAAAGCATTGGCCTGGTATCATAATTAGAATTACAGACAATAATAGAAAGCAGGCGTTCTCTGGAATGAATGCCTAATGCAGAAGAGTGGAACACAGGCCATTTGCCAAGGTGGCCACGTGGAGCTGATAACAGTGCTGTACATTTGAAAGATCATTACTGAAAGGGTATGTTTAATCCCTATCCCACCCCAAAAGTGACTTCTCAATAGTTCCCAGAAACATATGCTATTAGGCTCAGCTGGAAATGAAAAATTGCTCTTAATCATATGCAAGGAACAATTCTAAATAGGTGTCTTTGAAAACAGCATTGGGAAGGAAAGAGTACTGCCAGAGAGAATGGAAGATCGTTTTGATTCTTGATGAAAAGCTATCAGACAGAGTTCAATGTGATAAGAGATGTGAAGGATCTTTAGCGAAGCAGTTTTCTCTTAAGAGAAAGGTAATGCAGCTGACAAAGTCACTTAATGTTTTTTGTATCATTGAACCTAAAAAAACATTTTTTTTATCATTGGTTATGAGCCACAAAAAGCTTTCTTCCCCCTTTTTAATCTTTGTGAGGGTTTTTGCTTTCAGACTTCCTGCAGGAAAGTGTTTTAAGTGGAATTCTGTATATTGCACCTAATGTCTGCCAGTATGATCCCTGTTACAGCCATAGGGACCATTTTCCTTCTGTCCTCAAGCTGTGTTGCTGCTTATTATCATGTTTAACATTCCCAGTGCCTGGCAGGATGGAGATTAGAAACTCTTAATATTCGTTTTATAGTGAAAGGTCTTGCCAGATTTTTGGAGCATGGGCTATAATGTATGCACATAATTTATTGGTGGAAAAGTTCTGAAGTCCCCAGTGAGTCACCTTAATCTTTCTTATCATTTTAGGATTGTTTTAAAATAATCTGCACCCCACACGTAAACATGTTAAAATCAACACATTTGAAATAACAACTTGATGGAAGCAAACAAAAAGAGATGTGCAAATTTCCTTTGATAAGTCTGGACTATTTTTTTTTAAAAAAAACTGCATATTTTCTGGAGTATTTTTCTCTAACCCCAAAATTTCATTTTTTAACAGACTGGAAGGAAAGAGAAGGGAGACCCACTCAACATTGCTATTGACAAGATGACCAAGAAAACACGAGACCTTCGAAGACAGGTAATCTATGCTCTTTATAATGCTGCTTAGTTTTCCAAGGAAGTGCTTGCTTTTCAAGTTCATACTGGTTTTACCACCTGTAGAGGTATAAAGAAAATTGTCCTTATGTGGGTATGATGCTAGACTACATGATAAGCTAAAGACTATCACTTCCTGAGCCAAAAAAAAAAGGGAGACTGAAACATGTTCCAAATGTAACCCTCAATGGTCTTAATATGTGGGAGGGTAGGCAGCTTGGCCAGACCTTCACTGCCTTTGCAGCCCAGCAACCCCAGTCATAAAAACACTGGCATATGTGTTTCTTTTGTTTTTTATTTGAATATTCTCATTGAAATAACAGGAATGATGAGCAGAATACGGAAAAGCTTGTAAAAGCAGAATATTTTCAAAGAAAACTTTTAAGGTACCATATTAAATAAAGATCCTCTGAAGATATAGAGGAAAGTAATAAATAACTTTAAAGCACAGTTTAAATCATAAAGGTGACTTTCTTATATTACCTGTATCATTGTGTTTGGTAATAAGACTGAAAGATTTGTTCAAAAAGCTTTAGATGGAAAAAAAATAGAAGGGAGATTGGAAAATGAAAGGGAACCCTCTATAGGTTTCTCTGTATACTTCAAGTTAAGGCAGGAGGGATTGCCTTTTTGTACTTCCTTTTTCTCCTTTTGAGATGATTCCATTTCTACATTGTCTCTAAAAATTGAGAAAAAAAATGTTATTATCTGACTAATCAAAAGTTGCCACAGTCAGAATGATCCAAACCCCATGGATCTACAAAGTAAGGACTTAAATGTATCTTCCAATACCTATTTGCAACATGATAGTTACAGGAAGAGTGTCCTCTATAGCATGTTGGATGCATCAAGAAGAGTGTGGCCAGCAGATCAAGAGAGGTGATTCTCCCCCTTTACTCTGCTCTTGTGAGACCCCACCTCAAATACTGTGTCCAGTTCTGGTGTCCCCACCATAAAAGGGACACAGATCTGTTGGAATGAGTCCAGAGGAGGCCACAAAGTTGATCCTGGGGCTGGAGCATCTCTGCTGTGGGGATAGGCTGAGGGCACTGGTATTGTTCAGCCTGGAGAAGGGTTATAAGGACCCTGGAGGTCCTTATAACTGCCTTTCAATACCTGCAGGGAACCTAGAGGAAGGCTGGAGAGGGACTTTGCACAAGAGCGTCCAGCAATCGGAAAAGGGGAAATAGTTTTTAAGTGAAGGAGAGTAGGTTTAGACTAGATTTTAGGAAGTTCTTCAATGCAAGGGTGGCAAGACTCTGGGATAAATTGCCCAGAGAAGTTTGGATGTCCCCTCCCTAGAGGTGTTCAAGGCCAGGTTGGATGAAACCTTGAGCAACATAGTCTAGTTGAGAGGCATCCTACCCATGGCATGGAGGTTGGATGAGATGATCTATAGGGTTTCTTCCAGCTGATGCCATTCTATCACTCTATGATTTTATGTTGGCATCAGTTCTCTGCACTGCTGAAACTAGCTCATTTAATCTCTTCCTGAACTCTTGCAAACGTATTTGAGGATCATATTCTCAGAGCTGATTTCTCCAAATAGTAAAAATATTGCAGTGGACTTAGAGACTACACGAATCATTGACTCTCCTGGATAAAGCCAAGCATCACATCTGTTGCTCAGCTAATGAGAGAAGAAAGATCTCCACTGTTCTGACCTCCAAATTTGTGGGATCCTAGGTTCTGCAGCGGAGCTGGTACCATGTGTTGCCTCCCACCTTTGTTCTTATTGCTGGAAGGAAGTAGCAGACTAACACATGAGTTGCTGTTCTGTGTGAGGCTCTCAGCAGTTGTCTCAATTACTCATCTCTAAAGCCAAATTTACTCCAAAACGTGATATAAAAATGGCACCTTTCTTAATAAACTGTCTGCTTCTCATATATATTCAGTCCCATGGGTGTTGAATTCGATTTCAGAAAGGCTGGAACTCTGTATGTGGCTAAAGTGAGCACATATATAATATTCTCCTGCTTGGAGATGAAGCATTTAATATAGTTTCTGATATTTATGAAAGTTAATCACGGAGGTATAGTGTTTATTAAATTGTGGCAGTTGCTAGTAAACTAATGAAGATTCGATCATAATTTTGTCAGGTTTTGCACAAGCACAGAGGAAGTTGGAGTCATTGCTTTCAACAGTGTACATTCTGGTTATAAATCATTATCCTTTAGAATCATAATCAATGTTCTTTCCGTGCATAATCAACACTATACAGGTGCATGTCTGCCCAGAGCTGTCTCTACATCCTCTCCCAAATTTCAGAATCTGAGGATTTTACTGAGGTGTAGTTTAATAGCTGGGGAGAGAGGCTTGAAGATTAAGAAGACGTGGGCCACTGCTGAGATTGCAGTCTTACACTGTTTCAGACTTTCTATTTTGGCCTAATCATGGGAGAGACAACCAACTTTGAATACTATTGAATACCTTTTGTTTCTCTTTTAAAGCTTCCTTGTGAGATTTATGAAGCTTAATGTTGCCTCCATAAAACTAGACAATCTACAGAATATGTTTTTGTAATGAAGTAGGTATATCTGTATTTCATTTAGTAGTCAGGCTCTCTTGCAAGGCTTCAGTAGTCAACCATCTAAGACTGATTTTCCTTTCTCCCCCCAGGTTACTTAGCTCTTTATTTCTCAAATTTTATTTGATTATCTACAGAACACCCAGACATGTGGAATGATTGTGGATGGGATACATGGTGCTAAAATTCCATCTCACAATTTACAGTCACATTGATATTTCCCAATCTGGTTGAATTACATCTTTTGTACTCATCATTTAAAATCTCCTGGGCATTGGAAAACTATAATGGAGCTCTAATTATATGTCTTAATATAAGTTGCCAGTAAGAACATCATCCTAAGTCAGACTGATCAAGATCTTGGAAGCAGACAAATCTCACCATCCCATAGCTTACTGCTGTCATTTCTTACTAGACTGTGAACAATTTTGAAAAAGCTCAGGGTTCTGTGTCTGATAGCAACTTGTGCCAATTGGCAGGATTTGGGTTTTTTTTTCCTCTTGGTATGTGAGTCTGTGGTAAGAAAAAAATTTAAAAAAAAAAGAAAAAAACCCGAAATCTAAAAGCATCTTTCACTGTGTGCTACAGCAAGCTAGACCAGCAGCAGGGTGCTTCTTGATGCCAGTTATTTTGTTTGTTTTATCTCCATAGGGAAAAAAAAAAAAGAAAGCTAACTCTATTGTTTAAATCATAGAATTATAAAGGTTGGAAAAGACCTCTAATATCAAGTCCAACCATCACCTAGCACTACCACGACTGTTAAACCCCGTTCCCAACTGCCACATCTACACATTTTTTTGAACCCCTCCAGGGATGGGGACTCCACCACCTCCTTGGGCAGCCTGTTCCAGTGCCTCACCACTCTGTCAGTAAAGAATTTCTTCCTAATATTTAATCTAAATAAATACTACAGCTGATCCTAAAACAGAACACGCGTAGTATTTCAGGCATCACAGCTCTGCAGTGACATTGAAACAAAGCTAAGCAGGAAGGGCACACCAAAGAGTTTGGCTAATACACAGACTGGATGCCTAGCGAGGTCCAACACGGTCTATAGATCATTTGGAGTTGTATGAGCAGGGCACCAGCTGTTCTGCTGTCACCACCACTGGTGTCCCACCTGTTAGTGCCGCTGTCGCCTGCTCTGCTGCCATCATCTCGTTGCCTTGTGTCCTCTTCCAGTTGATCAGCTGAGCTTGTTTGGTCTGTATGAGCCAGTTGGTTTCCCCAGAAGATGTAATAACCAAACCCATTTGTTTTCTCTTAAAGAGCAGGTATCTCAACTGCCATGTATTTAACAGAGCAGCCTGTTTGCAGTATTCTATACAGGAGACTGAAATCAAATAATTCTTCATTTTTATCCATTCAAGTCAGACTAATACTTCACGTGCCTCCAAGTGGAAGGAATTCTAATAAAACAGCAAGATTTTTTTATCAGTTATTCTTAGTTTATACTGAAAATGACACACTCATATAGCTGTTAAGGACAATTCATTCCACCTCCTGTAGACTTAGGTTTGTGTCATTATTGAAGCTACTCAGAGATACACAGTATGGAATAAATACTCAACAGAAAAAAATGACAGAAATTATTCACAAATTTGATTTTGAAAATAATCAAACAAACAAACAAAAAAAGCCAGAGATGAAAAGTCACATTTGGATTTTTTTCAGTTGTATCAAATTTTCATTTTGAAAGTTTGTAGTTTATTTTAGCTTAGCATTGGAAATAGAAATATAAACATATAAATAAATATTGAAAATTAAAAACAGATTTTGAGAGTTTTCAAGAAAATCTTTCCATTGTTTTAAGGTGTTTTGATAATTTTGATATTTTCAAGTTTTATTCCAAAGTAGAATAAAGCAAAAATTTGAAAGTACTATATGTGGCAGGTACCACAAAAAGCAAAATAACATCAACTGCCTATTAGTAGCTGCATACAGTTAGCAGCTAGGGTGGTGACTTTGAATATGGAAAGCTGTCATCATTTCTGGATTCAAAATATCTTGATTTATTGAAGTCTTGCTTTCCTTGGTATGGTACTGTCTGTGAAGGGCTTCCTAGAGCAATAATCTCAGATCCTCCCTTATGGTCTCTGATTTTCACATTTTCTCAGATATACCCTTTTCTCTGCTGCTATCTCATCAGTATGGTTTGAGTTGAAAGGACCTGAAAGATCATCTAGTTCCAACCTCCTGCCATGGGCAGAGACACCTCCCACTAGGGCAGGTTGCTCAGAGTCCCATTCAACCTGGTCTTGAACAGTTCCAGGGATGGGTCATCCACAGCCTCCCAGGGCAACCTGTTCCAGTGTCTCATCACACTCACAGTGAAGAACTTATTCCTTATATTTAATCTTAATCTACCCTGTTTCAATTCAAAGTCATTATCCCTTGCCTTATCACGACAAGCCTTTATGAAATGTCCCTCTCCAGCATTCTTGTAGGTCCCCTTT